AAAAAAAAAAAAAAAAAAAAAAAAAAAAAAAAAAAAAAAAAAAAAAAAAAAAAAAAAAAAAAAAAAAAAAAAAAAAAAAAAAAAAATGGTTAGGGTTGAGATTATCAACTTTTATTTATTTTCTGATCGGCGTATTTCTTAGTTTGTCGTTTATTAAGGCTACATGAGAATTGAGTTTCATTTGAGAAATTATATGTTACATAATAAGAAAAGAAAAAAAGAAGGGGAAAATTATGATGGAACTATTCTCGTCATTTCAAATATTCGTCTTTATTTTTTATTTTTATTGTATTTAAATAAATAACGAAATACATTTAGAGCAAATATTTTTCTTCTAAAACTTCGCATTCGTAGAATTGTACCGTGAGAACGATTTTGTTTTGAGTATTTATGAAGATTATAAACATAAGGAGCGGATTGAAAGCCTCCTTCTATTTGAGATGCTCGCGACACTGAACTGGTACTCACAGTCAGCTGTGTTCATTAGTGTTGTTCGATCAGAGCCCAGCACCCTCGTGGCAGCCTAGGGCTCCGGAAACCGCCACGAGGTGCCCGTCAAACACGTGCCGCGATCCGCGGCGCCGTATATACTGTTTAACAAAATTTTGTCTAATCTCTCACCGGATGACTCACTTATTGTCGAATTACGCCGTATCACTCAGGAAAGGAGGCTTCAGGGCTAGGATTTGGCAGGAAAATTATGGATGGCAAAATCGTAGCATACCGTAGCAAGACCGTCACACATGTGGGTACCGTCCCGTTCGAGAAGGAAGCAGAAGTGACAGATGTCAAGTCGCGAAGACACCGACAAATCGCGACCCGTGTTGTCGTGGTAAAAACTAAAAACCCACAGATTGGTTTCGAACAAGTGCCCTTTATCTATAAAAACGTTTGAGATTCTAACTAGGACTTAAGCCTTTGTCCTGTGAGGCTAAGAACATCTTAAATGCTGTTACAAAAAATACATTTTTTTTTGTCGCACACGTATTATCAGCCCGACTTATGTTCGAACTACCGTACCTAATCTGATAGATACTAAAGCGTAAATTTCGCCGCCATCTTGAAATATCCGTTTCAATTTGTTGCCCAAAAAAGAATTCACTTCGATTCCTGGTTCATCAACCCTAACTCACAGCCTTAAGGCATCTACGTGCTTTCCCTAGACCCGTACGATTTACTGCCCGCGGCTCATTCTCAAATCACACTCACATATATTTATAGGAATTTTATGTGGCCGGATTTATCTTGCAAATAAATTTCCTAACAATTATTATATCCCCTACATAAAAACACCATACAAAACGCTTAACAACAACAAGCGCCGATTTAATGGCTTAAGCCAAGTGCTGTGAAGATTGTGAATTAATTTTTTTATTTTATTTCTGGAAACATTTGACGTTATCCAATTGAAATAAATAGTCAAATCAAATATCGTTCGTTATTCTTGAAGGTACTCATTTCGTTTTCATAATACTGCCACCGTTCTAATCATGATCTAAATGATATAATTTCTAAAGCAATGCAATACAACAATGGATGCCTATGCCAGCAGCGAACGTCAATCGATAACAATTGTATGCAATGCGGCGCGTTCTGATTGAATTGTACATTGTAATGCGTTGTGGTACAAGCCAGAGACATATAGAGATTTATATACTAGGAGTGAGTTACTAGAAATTAATGGGGCGCAGTCACAATCCTAAGTAAACACGTTCTTCCGATACCTGAAGGGTGGTAGGAGGATGTTTCTAATAGTCCTTGAAATTAAATCCAATCGTGCCAACCTAATCGACTTCCACGGTGAAGTAATAACATCGTGTAATTAAAATCAAAACCCGCAAAATTATAATTTGCGTAATTACTGGTGGTAGGACCTCTTCTGAGTCCGCGCAGATAGGTACCACAACCCTGCTTATTTCCGCCGTGAAGCAGTAATGCGTTTCGGTCTGAAGGATAGGGCAGCCGTTGTACCTATACTGAGATCTTAGAACTTATATCTCAAGGTGGGTGGCGCATTTGCGTGATGTCTATGGGCTCCAGTAACCACTTAGCACCAGGTTGGCTGTGAGATCGTCTACCCATCTAAGCAAAAATAAAATCGGTTTATCGCTTTAACATTTAAAAAGACACCGCCCAGCATTAGTACTTTTATCCCTAGCTATTCGTTGGTAGCCTAAGAGACTATCCCAGCTACGCCCGGACGACATTGGTACTTTTGTACACACTTTGTTGTCCTAGGTCTCCGGTTGGTGTGAAAGACTGGCATGTTGGGGCTTTTGAGTATTTCGGAACCCTCTGTGTTTGGGGTCTAGTAAGGGAGGCTGAAAAAAACGCTGTGTAAGCTCACAATCCTAGAACTATGCTGGTTCTGGCGGAGCAAGGTATCTTGTTAGTACAAGTTGGTGGCGGCCTTTGTGTGGACTTCAAAGACCACAGCAACCGGCAAGCCCGAATGAACCCCAAAGATAGCTGGTTCAACGTCCTTCGGGAATTCGGGCGACAGAGAGAGATTCGCACAGTGTAAAAAGTGTCACCTTGCCCCAGCTTGAGTGATCAGGGTTTTTGGTGTGTTCAACTCCACATGCTTGTCCGCAGGCTCCAAAGATGTATCTGGAAAACCAGCGTTTTCCATCGGAAAAAAATTACACGCTAAACAAAACCGAAAACCTTATTGAATTGAATTTTCAAGTTCATAGTGATTGATGAAATTTTATTAATACCTTATGAATGTGTTGAAATGATATTTGAAATACGGTATGATCAGAAAACAGCACGTAAAATGGTAAGATGGTCAATGGTGGTCTAGACGTACAGTCTGACCTGAATACATTTTATTAAGTGTTACATGACATTAGATAACGTTTGAAAACAGGCTACATGACTAGTCAAAGCCAACCGCAGACAAAACCAGCAAAACGCAAACCCTGGCGCGCTATCCGTAATCAAAATCAATCCAAACACGACCAAATCATGAATATTCATGGCGCACCTATCGTAAACCGCCATGTCCAATACCGGCTGTGTAAGCGTGCATAGTCGATTAATTAATTGCCGGCCAGCATTGTACACCATACGGGTCATAGACACGGGCTGGTCGTTAAGTTTTACGATCGCGCCAGATGTACTGGTACACTGGTTGTTAATGGCCGCGTGCGTTCTCGTCGAATTCAAATTTGGTACTAGAGGCCTCTGTTATACGATTCTCAACTTGAGGTATGCTGAAATTCAATTTTGAAATACGCTAATTCTAATTGAAACTAACAATGAAATTGGGAAAGTTGATTTCTATTGTGAAAGATAAACAGTCTTACTTTCATTTATCGAAGAAATTTTTTGTGATGATTTTAAAATAACGTATTCATGATTTGGTGAAATAAGAAACATTTAATTTTAATTGGAAAATGGACTTATTCTATTTGAAACTTTTGTCAAAGCTTAGATACACCTTGGATGCCATCAATCAGCTTCAGACTTCAGTGTAAGCAGTGCTCAGTCTGGTTCAACCACAGTAGGTCCTACCGCCAGTTGTAATTCTACAACTGCTGTAGACATTTATGAACGCGCATTAATTTTTTTATCCAACGATGGCATTGTACTGTATCAGTAAGGGTACTTATTCTTCTTTTCATAAAAAGGTTTTTTTTTGTATTGCTTAGATGGGTGGACGAGCTTACAGCCCACCTGGTTTTAAGTGGTTACTGGAGCCCATAGACATCTACGACGTAAATGCGCCAACCACCTTGAGATATAAGTTCTAATGTCTCAAGTATAGTTACAACGGCTGCGCCACCCTTCAAACCGAAACGCATTACTGCTTCACGGCAGAAATAGGCAGGGTAGTGGTACCTACCCGCGCGGACTCACTAGAGGTCCTACCACCAGTAAATACGCAAATTAAAATTTGCGGGCTTACATTAAATTTTATCATTTTTCTGTCGCTCTTAAATTCATATCAATAAAAAACTGTCTCCAGCCACAAGAAACTTGTTCACAACAATTTAATTACAAACAGCAGCGTCGAGCGACGCTTAATACCGAATATGATTGCATAACTACCTCTCTCATAAGCCCGACGAAGTTATAAATTAATAACTTGCTTACAACTTGCAGGGAAATAACTGTCGGTGAGATAAAATTATAATCGATTTAAGCTACGCTACGGTATGAATGAGTACTTTGGTATCCGAGGTACGAATGGTATTGAAAATATTATTATTCGTATTAGGTAGTAGAGCATTTTTTGAGCCCACAAGGGTAGGCACCACGACCCCACGATTCGCAAATATTTCTGCCGCTAATATCACAGTAATTCGTTCCGATTTTAAGGGTCGTAACCGTTGTATTATAGACATTTACGTTGTTGATGTCCATGGGCTCCACTAACTACTTAACTACAGTTGGGCCGTGAGCTCGATCACCCGGCTAAACAATATAACATGAAGCAACATAAAGTACGCCACTCCTAACTCAAAACTCAAACCTTACACTGCTATAAATTACAATCCTAACCCAAAATCTATTTACAGGAAACTTTCAAGGTGACATTGCGATCCCGGATTCAGATCTTTATAAAACGGCGACTAGCCCTCCGGTCAAGATCGACAAGTCCTTCCAAGAAGAAGTTGAACGATTGAAGAAGGAGGTTCTGCTCGAAGGTCTACAGGTCGAGGAGGAAGGTCTTCCGGATATATTAAGGAAAAGGACAAAACAGCCCGTCCAACTATCTCAAGACAAGAAGGGTTACAATGACGCGGCTCTTATGAGTGAGGTAAGCAATTAGATTTAGAAAGTAATATATTTTTATTTTAATCTTAATACAGTTAAGAAGTAAACTTGAGTATACTGAGTTCGTTGTTTGATAATGATAACAGATCAGCTGTATCTCTTTTTTCGTCTTCTCCATTTTCTTCTTTCGTAGAAGAACGGTAACGACCTCATGGGTCACATTTGGCGCTAAGTGATTTACGAAACCCGTGACGTTAGATTTAAGTCGCACTATCGTGTTACCTATTCGAGGCGAATACGCCTCAACACCACTGAAACGATAATATCCTAGAAATTTCCAAAGACATAAAATGTGTTATGTGCCTGCAAACCTATTGATGAAATTGTGTATTTTGTATATTTTCATTGCAGTCACTACCAGAAGGAGTAGACAAGTCGCTTATGCTCAAAAACGGCAAACTACTTCCAGAAGAAATCCTAGATAATAGTACAGAATTTAACGAAACCAAATCCGATGTTCACATTGCAAACAGGTCCAGCGTAGAGAACATTTCCGAATCTGAGAGCCTAGAGCAAGACGGCGTACTGGTTGTAAACATATCTACTGACAACATCCTCAATTTGGACGAACTGTATCCTTTTATTCAAATATCGAATGCCTCAAGGAAACAGGACGAAAAGACAAACAAAATCCAGAGCAACAGCCGAGAAATAACAGGAGATTCAAACAATATACAGTTCAAAGACATACCAGAGAACGTGACGATGGCTCCTGCTCCCACAAATGGTTTTTTATCGAACAGCGACCAAGACGACGAAAAGGAAATCAAAAAAACTGAACGGGAATTAAAAGTTAAGAATATTGATTTCTTGAAACCCACAGAAAGCTTGCAAAATTTGACTCTCGAGAATCCAGGAAGAAGGAATCGAAGAAGACGCAGACACGGCAATCGAAGAAGGTATCTAAAATATTATAATTTACAGTCTTATTTTCTGTAATTTCTTTCTTTTCGTCTTTCTGTAATTTCTTTCTTTCGTGTTTCCTTTTTTTGTACTGATATTTTTTTCCAACGTGTTTGAATGAAAAACCTACTCAACTCCTTTTAAATATCACTTATGAATTACATTGCTGGTTTATATAGAACTCCGTGCTTGCCCATTAATGGTCGAAAAAAATAATTGTGACTGATAGCTTCTCCTTCCATTAGCAAGAGCCTAGACTACGTAATGCATCGAAATTTCATGATGCATGAATTACTGGAACTCATACCACAAGAACTGTGCCCCTGCTCAGCTTGAGATATGAATTCAAATTCTCTGTTGCATTGTAATGACATTATTTCTATATTTCAAATTGAAACGTGGGGATGGAACTGCGAGACTATTTGGGACATGATTATATGTATGGGACGATATAAGTATGAAAATGAAGTGATAATATTCCTACAGCCGAGGAAGGGAAAAAGGAACCACAGCTCGTGGTGGTCATATAGATATTAACATCTTTGCTCATATGACCAACTTAAAAATTTAAGGCCATACGATATGATTGATGACCATATAGTGTACAAATTAAGGTATAAATTTAAATATGCCTTCAAGTGTCCAATTAACCATTAAATTAAAAACTATGGTAGCATACTCCAGACCATATTAAGCTCCAGAAGTGTTATTGCCTTGTAAAAAAGAAGACATGGCAAAACTATTATTAAACGTCAAGTTACTATCAAAACTTATAATATACCTAGTCAGGTCATAAATTCTGTCACATGTTTAATGTAAAATAATTGAAACAAGTTTATTCATTATGTAACTATTCATATACCAAAATGAACTTAACAAAACATAGATTCTTATGACACTAAAGCTTATTCAAAATGACCTCCGTGATTTTGAATACAGGCTTCAATCTGCGCGGCCAGTCGTCTATCGCAGCACGAACGAGGTCCATGTCAATATCAGCGGCTGCCTTAATCAAGGATGTCTTGAGTGACTCCAAATTGGGATGAGGCTTTGAGCACGCCTTTTCCTCCAAGTGTTGCCATATCTTGTAATCAACGGATTCAAATCTGGACTGGAGGAGGGCCAGTCTTCGTGCCGGATGAAGTCGATTTCACGCGCCGCCAGCTAGTCTTGTGTGCTCTTCGCTCTATGAGCTGACGCCGAATCTTGTTGGAATACCCAGTGCCTGTTATTAAACATGGTATGAGAAACAGGTTCCACAAGGTTCAGAACTGTATTTTGCTGTACACAACTGCATTCGTTTTTACACCTTTCTCACAAAAATGTACCTCTGTTAAGCCCCAATAAGAAACTCCCAACCATACCATGAGCGAGGATGGAAAATGACCTCGCTGGACACGCGGAATACGGTTGCTCGCTTCTTCACTACTGTGTGCGTACACCTTATCATTTTGTTTGTTGTAGCTCTCTTCTACGGTAAAAAAATTTTCATGCGAAAAAAGATTTTCCCGATATTTTTTTCCCACGTACCGCTTCAACAAAGCGCGGCATCTCTTCAGTCTCAGGTCCATTAGACGAGCATTCAAACGATGTCTTGTTTTTCTTCGATATGCCCGAAGCCCTAAGTCTTCATTTAACACCCTTTTCACCGTGGTTCTGCTTAACCTCATCTGAAGGGCCAACAGTTTCTGCTTACGTTTGGGATTTCTTTGAATTCGCGCCTTCACCGCTTTTATCACTGCTGGAGTCCTAACAGACCGAGGGCGACCACTTCTTGACTTGTCATCTACACTAGTCTTCATTGTATCGTTTGATGGTACGATAAACGAATCTTTTGGTTATATTCAAATTTTTCAGTATGTTAAAAATTTGAATTGGCGCGTAACCGCAACGATGCAACGCAATAACTGCAACACGGTCTTCTTTAAGCGTCCACTCCATATTTAAAAATGAGTAAAATTCTAAAAGTATACATTTTAATTTTCATGAACAATTCGANACCGAGGGCGACCACTTCTTGACTTGTCATCTACACTAGTCTTCATTGTATCGTTTGATGGTACGATAAACGAATCTTTTGGTTATATTCAAATTTTTCAGTATGTTAAAAATTTGAATTGGCGCGTAACCGCAACGATGCAACGCAATAACTGCAACACGGTCTTCTTTAAGCGTCCACTCCATATTTAAAAATGAGTAAAATTCTAAAAGTATACATTTTAATTTTCATGAACAATTCGAAATTCGAATTCAATAAACTTTTTTGTGGCCAGCGTTCTAAAAGAAAAGTTTTTACTGTGTGACAATACTTATGACCTGACTAGTTATAAGATAATTTCAGTTGTTTTAACTTCTTAACTAAGGGACATTGCGCTAAAAGCGTCATTAATATTGCAAAATTCTCAGGCAGCGAGAAACTCGTGGAAGATTTTACCGTTAATATTTCATGAGTGTTCAAAGTTTTGGGAACCTGCTTATGTATTGGTTTTGTAATGGGCGCGACTCACTAATGGCTGTCTAATCAAATAAATCTCGCTGGGGGCAGCTCAGAAATACATCTCCAGCTATGTCTTATTCTGCTTCTTTTGATCACTTCATACACGTGCTTAAAAGTCGTCGTGGCCTAAAGGATAAGACGTCCAGTGCATTCGTATCCAACGATGCGACGGTGTTCGAATCCCGCAGGGGGTACAAATTTTTCTAATGAAATAAATGCATCAAATGTGCACGATTGACTTCCACGGTGAAAGAATGACATCGTGTAATAAAAATCAAAGCCGCAAAATTTGCTTAATTACTAGTGGTAGGACCTGCTGTGAGTCCGCATGGGTAGGTACCACCACCCTGCCTATTTCTGCAGTGAAGCTGTAATGCGTTTCAGATTGAAGGGTGGGGCAGCCGTTGTAACTATACTGAGACCTCAGAACTTATATCTCAATATGGGTGGCGGCATTTACGTTATAAATGTCTATGGGTTACGATAACCACTCAACACTAGGTGGGCTGTGAGCTCGTCCACTCATCTATGCAATGAGAAAAAAAAGTAATCAGTGTATTGTGAGCCGTCTTACCCATTTCTGACGCGAAGGAATCCGATTTTACGGTTTGCAGGGCTCTACAGACGCTTTAACAAAACAGATTTGAGACTGCAATATAATTTTTTCATAGTTTTGCTTTAGTGACTGTTACGTAATTTTTATGTGTCACTAAATTAAGAAATTTGAGTAAATAGAATAGTACGACACTCTATATAAATATGACATTTGATAGGATATGACTATATGATACGATGACATTAAATTCCTTCGTTTTTAAATAAAAATAAAAGTACGTATTCGAATAATTTCTACGGCGTTTTAATTCCGCTCCCATTCACATGCCAAAGGATCTTTTCGTCCTGTGAATAAGGCTCGTTATCCTTTAATTGCAGCGACCGAAACGCTTGCTTCAAGCACCGGTCTTTTCCTTGACGATGTAAGGATCGAGCCTTTGATGTTTTCAATGAGTGTAAATGTTACGTTTGCAATTTCATATATTTTTTTTTTATTGCTTAGATGGATGGACGAGCTCACAGCCCACCTGGTGTTGTTGTTGAGATATAAGTTCTAAGGTCTCAAGTACAGTTACAACGGCTGCCCCTTCAAACCGAAACGCATTACTGCTTCACGGCAGAAATAGGCAGGGTGGTGGTACCCACCCGCGCGGACTCACAAGAGGTCCTACCACCAGTAATTACGCAAATTATAATTTTGCGGGTTTCATTTTTATTACACGATGTTATTCCTTCACCGTGGAAGTCAATCGTGAACATTTGTTGAGTACGTATTTCATTAGAAAAATTGGTANGGCAGAAATAGGCAGGGTGGTGGTACCCACCCGCGCGGACTCACAAGAGGTCCTACCACCAGTAATTACGCAAATTATAATTTTGCGGGTTTCATTTTTATTACACGATGTTATTCCTTCACCGTGGAAGTCAATCGTGAACATTTGTTGAGTACGTATTTCATTAGAAAAATTGGTACCCGCCTGCGGGATTCGAACACTGGTGCATCGCTACATACGAATGCACCGGACGTCTCATCCTTTAGGCCACGACGACTTCAAACATACATATGATTAAATGTAACTAAATTCGTGTGGCATTAAATGATACGGAACCCAGGTCTACTCGTATTTCATGATACTTGTATTCGTTATAGCCAGAGAATATCAACTTTTCGAATAGTCACTAATTGTTTTCTATTTGTACATGCTACTATTTTTAGAACTTTACAATTAAAACATCCGTAAAACTGTTGTTAATTGGAAACACGATGATGAAAACTAACTAACTAACTAGAATTAAATAACTTTTCAATTCATTTTCAATATAAATAAATATGTATAAAATTGTATAAATATGTTTTCAGTAGTTTAAAAGAAGCGATGTTTACTTAATTTACATATTTAATGAAAATGGCATTTAAAGAGTTTATATATTGTACTCCAGCCGCGCATCCGAACTGACACTGCTGGTAGGACCTCTTGTGAGTCCGCGCGGGTAGGTAGGTACACCACCCTGCCTATTTCTGCCGTAAAGCAGTAATCCGTTTCGGTTTGAAGGGTGGGGCAGCCGTTGTAACTATACTTGAGAACTTATATCTCAAGGTGGGTGGCGCATTTACGTTGTAGATGTCTATGGGCTCCAGTAACCACTTAACACCAGGTGGGATGTGAGCTCGTCCACCCATGTAAGCAATAAAAAAATAAAAAAAAATACACGCAATTTTTTATTTATTTTAAATTCGTTATTCGTATAATTCATTAACCTAAAAATAAAACAAAAAACTACAAACGTATATAGCAGATGATTTATTTTTTAATTTTTTTTATTGCCTAGATGTGTGGACGAGCTCACAGCCCACCTGGTGTTAAGTGGTTACTGGAGCCCATACACATCTATAACGTAAATGCACCACCCATCTTGAGATATAAGTTCTAAGGTCTCAGTATAGTTACAACGGCTGCCCCACCCTTCAAACCGAAACGCATTACTGTTTCACGGCAGAAATAGGTGGGACGGTGGTACCTACCCGTGCGGACTCACAAGAGGTCCTACCACCAGTAATATATGTGGGATGTGGGATTAAAGCGATTCTCAATAGGATGTGTAAAAACTTTTTGCTTTCCATTTCGTGTTTTATTTACTAATCATATTTAAATTACGTAACCTAAATTCGTTTTTAAAATCTTCCTAATGTCTTAATGTAACTCGTCGCTATTAGCGATGTGCCATCTATCACAATTAAACATAGCGGCAGCCGCCTACCCGGCCTCATGAAAATTTGTTATGCTGTATTTAAAATATAACAATGGATAACTTATAGATAAATAACCACATAAATACTCCTTATTTCTTAAAGAAATCTCTCCTGTGACAGGCCGATCAGAATAATAACGTAATACAATAATTATGAGTGAGTTCAAAATATGTTCCCACCATAGAAATTAATTGTTTATATCATAATTTAATATATTGAATAAATATAAAATAAAGATAAGCGAGAGGCATGAAATATAATATAATTTTTATAAGAATTATTAGTTTTTTTTTTTTTTTTTTCCTACCTAAGCTGAGTGCCTTGAGAGGCTATTTCAGCGTAACCCTAACGTTTGTAGGTGAGCTCACGGGGCTCAAACCTGATGACGTTGCTAACACGAACCCTAGCAAGAGTCGTGCTTCGCAGAATCTACCACCGGATCGGAAACGCGACCTTCTTAGAAGATCCGGCGAGAAACTCAGTGGGCTGTGTCTGAGAGTTAATTTACTCGTCGAGCCCTTCGTCGCAAGCGACGGGTTCGACGAGAACGGTGACCGGTGCTTGAAGTACCTAGAAGCACCGTTAGTGGATCGGGAGGATCCGAGATGACGTGTTTTGGGCGACGTCGACTGCTTTCCATTCTGTCCGCAGGATCGGGAATGTAGTTACCGGCGGCCACGATGAGAGGGTTCTCGTGTCGTGCCGCTTTATCGAAGTGGCGCATGGACGCCGACTGCAGATACTTACTGATGGACTCTAAGTCCAGGTCGTCATGGAGGTCGACGTTCCTGACGAACCACGGGGCTCCGACGGCTATCCTGCAAAAACGGGATTGAATGATTTGAAATGATTTTAAGTGTATGCGGGCCGCGTGAGCGAACACTACACTTGCATAGGTCATGACGGGGCGTATGCAAGTTTTGTAGAGTGTCACCTTATTTCTAAGGGACATTTTACTTCGCCTACATATCATCGGGTAGAGACGTCCTAGAATAAAGGCGGCACGGTCGCGTGCCGTCTTGATGTGCGGGCGGAATGTCATCCTACTGTCGAGGGTGACGCCTAAATATTTGACCTTCGGGGCCCACGGTATGGGCTGGTTGAACATCGTGATTGGGCGAATGGCGGAGGCGGAGGTGTTGACGCGCCTAGTCGGGAGAGGGATGCTCAGCGTGGTGTTCGGAGGGCGACCCCTTTTGAAGAGCACCGCTGTGCTTTTCGTGGGGTTGATGTCGATGCGCCACTTCCGGAACCACTGTCCCATGGTGGTAGCTGCGGTCTGAAGTCGTCGATGAAGCAACGCCTTCTTCCTACACGAGTAGTAGATGGCGGTGTCATCGGCGAAGAGCGCCAGATGGGTCTCCGGAGACCGGGGTATATCATTGATATACAAACTAAATACGAGGGCGGGATGATAAGTAACTAGCCTCTGGTATTTAAAAAGTTAAAATTCAAAAAATTTATATGTCATTTGTAAATTCGTCTCTCTGGCCACCTGTGTTCTAAATTTCAATTTGGTGGCGTGAAAATTTTATTGATTTTTTGTCATTTGAAAATATATTCCGTCAAGTGTTTTCAAAATGGATAAATTTGAACAAAGATCGGTGATAAAGTTTCTTCATATGTAGGGCATGAAGGGGAAAGATATCTATGACGAGTTAAAGAATGTTTTGGGTGAATGTGCTCCTTCTTATGCCACAGTAAAAAACTGGGTGGATTAGTTTAAACGCGGTCGTACATGTGTCCAAGATGAAGCCCACCCCGGATGTCCAAAAAGCGTTACGACACCGGAAATGGTCGTGAAAGTACATGATATGGTTTTAACAGATCGACGATTGAAGTTATCTGAAATAGCTGACGCTACAGGTATCTCAAAAGAACGGGTACATCATATCCTAAGTGAGGAATTAAATATGAAAAAGTTATCGGCCCGTTGCGTGCCGCGATTGCTTACGCACGATCAAAAATGGATTCGTGTGCAAAACTCAAAAGAATGTTTGGACCGTTTCAGTGTAATAAAGCCGATTTTTTACGTCGATTTGTAACAACAGATGAAACATGGGTTGATTATTACACGCCAGAATCAAAAATTCAATCAAAACAGTGGACGCAATCGTGATGGTCGCTCCAAAAAAGGCCATGGCTGTAAAGTCGGCTGGATAAGTCATGGCTTGCGTCTTTTAGGATGTGGATGGGATCTTGATGATAGATTACCTTCCTAAAGGTCAAACAATGAACGGAGAATACTACGCTAATATTCTAGATAACCGTCATCAATGTATTCAGTAAAAACGACCGGGTTTGACGATAAGAAAAACATCTTCCACCCTAGGGTCACACACGTGTTAAAGCTATGGCAAAAAGCAACGAATTGAAGTAAGGTTTGCTGCCCCACCCACCTTATTCGCCTGATCTAGCGCCATCAGACTTCCACTTATTCCCTAAGCTCAAAACTTTTTTGGGCGGACAGAAATTTGCCACAAATGATGAAGTCATAGCCGCTGTAGAGGAGTATTTTACAGGCCTCGAATGAAATTATTTTATGGAAGGCATTACTGCTTTAGAACGAAGATGGAATAAGTTCGTAGAGGTTCACGGAGACTAGGTCGAAAAATAAAATTAATATTATCACCGAAAGTTAAGTGTTTTATTATTAAGCTAGTTACTTATCATCCCGCCCTTGTAGTAACGGGGAGAGGGCGGAGCCTTGCGGGACTCCGGCTGTGACGTGACGGGGCCGGGAACGCGTTCCCTCGACTCGATATCGGAACGAACGGTTCGACAAGTAGTCTCGTATGATGAGGAATTATTAGAAATGGTTGCAGAAAATTTATAAGCCGGCTTAGGTGCTAAATAAAGAATGGGAAATAATGGAAACAAAAATAAACATGTTTGGAATCTTATAAATATAAATAATATTATTAGAACAGGAAATCTTTACAATAATTTAATTGCTTTATTATTATTTATACAGGAAGTGCTAGTAGGATTTTCTTATTTTAATCAGAGAGTTATTAAAAACAACAAAGAAAAGAAAAAAACAATGTAAATATAACAACTATTTAAATAAAATTTACTGTCACATTTTAGCCATAATTTCCTTCATGGATCACTTTTCTTTTGACTCAAAATGTTATAATTTAAAAAACAATTATGTATGTCACAGTCCTTTGATTTCACTTGGACTATGAATGTCCACCGTTGATCTGGGGTACAGTTGTCAGGGCAACTATCCAACAAAAAGTACCGTCAACAGCTTTATTTATTTATTTTACACTTCGTATTCGCTTTAGTCTATTTTTTTCTTCACAGACTAAGAAACATAAGTTCGGGCGAAAGGATTTCCCCGAATTCACTAAGCGAAGGACGCTCCGTAGACGACCATTTCGCGAGAAAGAAGTTTTTTCGTCACCACAAGAGGCACAGCGGCAGCAAAGAGTACAGGAGCTCGGAAAGGAAACTCGAAGTACCGGAACACGAATTTGAAGATAAGTTCGAAGTGAAACCGCCGCCGAAAAATCTAACGGAATTCGATCCGTTTAAAGACATGGTCTTTCGGGACACCGAAGAAGATTTAATGATGGCCGAAAGTAACCAGTACAATTCCACCGGGGTGATTATACTAACATCAATAATGAATGAATGAATGAATGAATGAATGATTTATTTTATTTCAGACAACAACATATGTGTACATAGTATCATTGAAACATACTTAAAATTAACAAAACAAATCAAATAAAAAATATACATTTCTTAAAAGTAATTATCAGTTGAATACATTTCAAATATTCCATTCAACTGATACTTACATCGAACCAACCACCGTTATTATTATTATTATTATTTAGTCTGCCAAATTTTATTTAATATCAAACCCATTTAATTTCGGAATGAAATCGGCAAAAGCCAAAATGCTGTTAATACTCAAATTAAATATGGCCTGATTTACGTTCTACAAAAAAAAGGCATCCCATCATTCTGAATTTCTTACGAACTAATCTAATGCAACGAAAAAGAAAGAGCAGTAGTATGCATATTCCTAATAAGTGACTATTAATATTATCATTTACTCTTCAACTGGGATTTTCATTATCTGCTAAAATGCTCAGCTGTGTTTAAGCAGGAGACATATGGTATATCTTCCAGTCTTTTTTTTTTCTGAGCATTAATTCTTAACCCTTAGCTACCATCTTCGTCAGTAATCTTTTTTGATGAGACCCGACCATTTTCCCTTTAGCAGTTGTGGTAGATAAACGTTAATTAAATTAAGCTGATCAATTTTATTGTAAACACTCAAATGTAGATTAACTTTAAGCATATTCTGCAATACTGCAAAATAATACAGACACAATATTCAAACCTCGCAAAAATTAATTCAAATCCAGCGATACTGTCACTAAATAACATCGATTAGCATTACTGCAGTCCGACCGTTTAATTGTTCTGCGTCAGCGTAGTCGTCTCTTAATACTAATCTGCATAATAATACCGGGCTGGAGCCAGGGTCTTTGCACTTGGCCAATTACGCGAATTAACCTACTTACGTTGAATTTTATCTAGGGGATCTTTAGCTCCAATTATCTGTGGCCTTGAACGATGCGGATTTGCGTTTCGTGGGCACGCTTTTGGGAATTGTTTTCCATCACAATTTACTCTAATTTACTCTGAGCGTTTATTTTTCTATTAATTTTGTGTTTAAGGGTGTTCAGGGTGATTATGAGAGATTTTTCGGTTTAAAATTTGATGTGAAATATCTAATTTCAATCATGTTGTATAAAATCGTCCCTCCCTTCAAATTGAAACGCATGACTGATTCGCGACAAAAGTAATTAAGCAAAGAGGCCATACCTATCCGTGCGAGGTCAAAAGGCATGTCATTGTAATAGGTTGAATATCATAAAACTCTATAACATTAAATCGATTCTAAAGCATTACATCCACGCACACTTCATTAAAGTTCAGCAAAAAAGAAAAACCCAATTCTTCGACCCCTCAATTTCGTCAATCACTGTACAAAAACAATTCCCACAGAATTTCATTGTCCATTCATTCGCCGTTACACTAACCCGGATAATAATGAGAGTGTTATCGTGACAGCCTAAAAAGCGACACCGCACGATCCGGGCCGCCACAAACCGTAAGGAACGTATCTGGGACAACGGTGTCATTCCTTACGAGATAGATGGAAACTTCAGCGGCGCCCACAAGTCATTATTCAAGCAAGCTATGAGGCATTGGGAGAATTTTACTTGCGTCAAATTTGTCGAAAGGGATCCAGAAGTGCATAAGGATTACATTGTGTTCACGGAACGGCCTTGTGGGTGAGTAGAATAACTATATAATATCTGAAGTGGAACTTAGCGGGTTGCGATTAGAGTTTAGAATCAATTAAGTCTCAATCTTATTACATTTTTTTGGTATTCGCATAGCAGCGTGAGGTATGGATATTATTACGATATTAGTAACAAGCATGCTCATTTAATACAAAACAGTAAAAGTAAATGATAATTATAATACACTGACAAACTTACGTAACGTTGCGAAAATAAGACCACGTTGTAGTCATACTTGTTATGTCATCTCAGACTAGAATAGAAAACTCTAGGAAAATTATTCAATTCTGTAGTGGAAAGTGAAAGTATAACAATAAAAACGCATAAGAAAATTGAGTAGTATATTTTTAAGCTATTGCATAGCTTTTATCGCGGGCTTTAAGTGCGGCGACCGAATCAAGAAATTCCGTAACGAAAATAAAACCTAACACATTCAACACGTTGCGCTTGTGTAGTGTTTGTGAATAAGCACGCGGCGTGACGTCGCACTGCATGTGCATCATGAAAAGTCTGCCCATCTCTCTCTCGCACTAGTTTTAGTGAAGGAGACAGTAAATGGTTTGCTTTTGTTAATGTTTATAAATATAGCGTGGTCTTAGTTTATTATTGTTTTAATATTAAATTATTGTTGACTAATTATAATTGCATAAGTTGATAAAAAATGCTATGCAAAAGCTTTACTGCGGCAGTCCCCGAAAGCCACACGTTTTTTTTTAAATGATGATGTTCGTAATGTGATGATGCGTGCCCGTCATCTGTCTTTTCTTTCGATTGCGTCTTACGAAATATACTATTTAACACGCTTTTATTAATTTCCGTTGCGGAATCTTTCAAAGTAATTTTCACTAAATTCAAGACGTCCGACCAACTTGAAAATCTGCACACGTACTTAAGGTACTTTCTCGTTCGCCTCTAAAATACGTCAAGCCGCCAGAAATTATTCAAATTTATAAAAAAATAACAATGTACTTATTTCGGTTAGTAAGTGAAAAGTGATTTGTTATTCGCGAGGATTTAATGAAAATAAATAATAGTTTAAAAAAAAACTTAACAAAATACGCTTTTATAGAAAATCCAACTAAAAAATAGAAAATAAATTTTAATAAATTTGAATTGAAAGTAGTGTAAGAAAAATGATTTTATCGTAAAAAAAAGCGTGGGGTGCATGGTATCAGTAGCTATAAATATTTTATGAACAGATATGAGTAGAAGGGTTATTTTGATATAATAATATCCTGAAAAGCACCTGTAAAAGCTTTCTATAAAAGCGTATTTTGTTAGTTTTTTTAAACTATTATCTATTTTTTATTGTTTAGTTGAATTTAAATTTTTTCATTTTTTTTTTTAATATTTATTTGTCATCGAACCATAATAAGTATACAAAATTTCGAGTTAATCCGACGTTTTGAAGAGGCTCAAAATCATGTTCAAAGATTTCGTTACATACATACGTCTGAAGCTAATAAAAGCGTATTAAAAAATCACTTCAAAATCTGTGACGCGAGTGTGGCATTAAAACGAGAATATCAACTTGAAAACAACCTTTAAATAATCATGAAAGAGTGAAATCAGTCTGACCTTTATTTACCTGAATCTACAAACCACTGCTTTGTAGCTGCTGCTCATTCGTCGGCAAAAGGGGCGCAGGCGCCCAGGCTATATCAATTGGGAAGAACTGCGACAAATTCGGCATCGTGGTTCACGAGCTGGGCCACGTTGTCGGCTTCTGGCACGAGCATACGAGGCCCGACAGGGATAACCACGTGCAGATCATACGGGACAACATCATGCTCGGTGAGTTTATACCTAAGATTGGCTAAATCTGGTTGTAGCATCAAGAAGGCTATACCTAGTTTTAATAAAATGAAATCGGCTACACCTAGGTTTAAACACCGAAGTGCGGCTACACCTAGTTTTAGCCGGCTAGAACTATGTGTAGCCGCATTTCGGGTAATTTTTTTTTATTGCTTAGATGGGTGGACGAGCTCACAGCCCACCTGGTGTTAAGTGGTTATTGGAGCCTATAGACATCTACAAAGTAAATGCGCCACCCACCTGGAGATATAAGTTCAGTACACCGGCTGCCCCACCCTTCAAACCGAAACGCATTACTGCTTCACGGCAGAAATAGGCGGTGGTACCTCACAAGAGGTCCTATAAAAATGATATTAAATTTTGAATCCCCAATATTAGTGTCGATAATAAAAATAACGGCAACATTATGAGAATAACGATAAAAAAAACCATCTTATATTCTTAACATTCCAATGATGCTTAAAGAAAAAGTCATGATATAACAACAATATTACAGTAATGTGTTTATTTTGAAAATAGAGGGTAGTTAACAACATTCGCATCGCGATAAATATCACTAATCGTCCGTGAACACCGAATAATTATGCAAAATGTTCGGAAATAATATAATGACGATAATGGATGCGATAATCCACCCTAAAATTAGTTTTAATTGTGTCTGTATTGCTACATATCAAAATTTAAAGGATCAAAACACTCGAATAAGGGCACTCAGAACGAAATGCGTGGCAATAGCGCACGTACAATGACTTACTCGCACACGCCCGACGTACTTGACCCGAATCCATTTGAAATGTCCTAAGAAATCTTCACAGCTGTGATGTTACACCGTAGCGTGTAGTTTCAATGCACGACAAATCCGTGAACATTGACATTTTTTCTTTGTTTTTCTTACCTATGCTGATAGCCTTAAGAGGCTATATCAGCTTCGCCCTAACGTGTAGGTGAGCTCACGGGGCTCAAACCGGAGCGGTGTTAACACTGGCCCTAACAAGAGCAATGCTTCGCAGAATCTACCACCGGATCGAAAACGCGACCCACTGAGAAGTTTCGTTGAGAAACTCAGTGGGCTGTGTCTTTGGGTTAATTCACTCGTCGAGACCTTCGTCGCAAGCGACGGGGAACGTTGAAAGTGAACTAGTCTCAGAACTGACCGATTTAAAATCAAAGCTCCTTAAAAATGACCCTCTTTTTGTTTATTAAAACTAATTTTAAGATTCAATTTTGTTACTGATAATTATTTTCACTTTATTGTTTACGAAGTTTGAAATGCTTTTCGTGGTCACTCACAGATGACATAGGCGTTTTTCACCGATATTTATATTTATTTTCCGGTCCTTCTCTACTCGTATCCAACGCTCGGCCGGAATTTGCCAGTTATCATATCATTACCATCAGCCGCAGACATACCGCTAGAATAGGCCTCTGTCTAGGATCGTCATAATGACCGGTCCTGCTCCACTCATATCCAACTGATTCCTGCGACCGTCAACAGCTCGTTGGTAAACGTTGTGGCAAGGTCGTCATACTTTATTCAAACTCTACAACAAATGTCACACTTCGGTGTCAATGTCACACAGCAGTCGCAGCCGTCGTGTCACCCGTGACGTCTGACGCATAATCTCGCCACGCAACACGGAAAAGCGACGCTCTTCCTGTTTATTTACATAACATTGTAAAGGAGTCCTTACGATTGCGAAATATCTTCAAACTATTTTATGCATGACCAAAGATTTTTATGCGTTCGGTATTATGATGATTCGCGAAATATGGCTTGACGCGCCAATCTTCGGAGTTTGTTGGGTATTTGCGGGATATGTCCACTGCTTCTGTGTGATCAAGATTCACGGCGTGGTCCATGAAAAAACTGAACTGAAATTAATAGAAAAACACCAGTAAGCGCAAGTTTTTTGATTCCGTCTACCTTAGGCGCAGTCTTCCGTATGTCGTCCAGATAGATTACTATCATTTTGATTTTCTGATCTCACTTGTCATACTATTTTATTGAACACCTTCACACACATACCTATAACCACACGTTACCAATACCTATAAACACACGTTCTACTCTTCTTCAGCACGTGTCCACACAATGCTGAGTGTAGGTCCCTTCATATGCACTCCATTCTTTTCGGTCTCTTGTCTTTCGCATCCATCACGTTCTACTAATTAACTTCAATAGCTAGTCACTCGCGCTTACTGGTAGTAGGACCTCTTGTGAGTCCGCGTGGGTAGGTACCACCACCCCACCTATTTCTGCCGTGAATCAGTAATGCGTTTCGGTTTGAAGGGTGCGGCAGCCGTTGTAACTATACTTGAGACCTTAGAACTTATATCTCAAGGTGGGTGGCGCATTTACGTTGTAGATGTCTATGGGCTCCAGTAACCACTTAAAACCAGGTGGGCTGTCAGCTCGTCCACCAGCCATTTAAAAAAATTAAAAAACTCGCGCTTACCTTATCGAGTAAATCAAAAAATTTATAACACCTCAATCTCGTGAGAAAATTCGCACAATAATAATGAGGACTTTAGCGTTATCACCGGGCCTATCACGGAATTATCCGGTTAAATGTTACGGTCATTACCCGATTACGTAATCTGGACGTTTGTCCTAAATCCGTAATTTGATAGCGTTCTCGTGTATTTAGTTAGTCGAAACTTGGCGTGTTAAAGCATTGTTAGGCAGACTTAACCGATTTCGGTGTCATCTATAATACACAATACTTAGTCTGGCCATAAATACTGTTACAAAGGAAAACAAAAAAAAAATTCTATGGCAAATAACATTTATTACTTTTACAGTGTGTTAGTTTAATAAATAAATATAAAACAATTTAAAGTATAAAAAGCTTATTCGAAGTGGTCTCCATTGGCTGCAATACAGTCCTTTAAACGTTGAGGCCAGTTATCAATAGATGCACGCACTCTTTCCATGGGAAAAATTTTCACTGCCAATCGTAAGGATTGTTTTAGGGACTCCAAATTATCATGGCGTTTAGAGCAAGCCGTACTCCCTAAAACTGACTATAAATCATAATCCAGCGGATTAAGATCGGGACTAGACGACGGCCAGTCTTCAGCTCTGATGAAGTCCGAAACGTTTGTTTCCAACCAAGACTGCGTAGACCGAGCTTTATGACCTGGCGCCGAGTCTTGCTGGAAGGACCATTCTTGAATATTGAACATGGTGTTGTTAAGGGGCTTCACTACCTTTTCAAGAATGGTATCTTGATACACTTTTGCCGACCTTTTTCACAAAAATATGGCCCAGTCACTCCTTCATAGCTAATACCCCACCTAACCATCACTGCAGTCGGATAGTGCCCACGTTGCATTCTGTCGACTAATTGGGAAGCTTCCTTAGAGCTTTGAGCATAAATACGGTCATTTTGTTTGTTAAAATGTTGCTCAATTGTAAAAAATTTATTTATTTTATAACTTCTTATACTAGAAAGTATAAAGGCGGACTTAATGCCATAGGCAGTCTTTAACAGTCTTAGGGGAGTGCAGAGATGAAGCTTGGTAGGTGTAGTGTGAAGGTGATATTACTTAAACATATGTGTATATATAACATACATAATATTTATAGATACAAATACTCGTACTTAAATAAATACATATACATATCATAAATATATACATATAAAAACATATTATATAAAATCATAGAAAAAATTTCTCATCCGTAAACAAAAATTTTCTATGACCTCCCTTTGCGTACCGCTTCAGTAGTTGTTTCGATTTTACCACCCTATTCTCTTTTAAATTATCAGTTAAGAAATGACCAGTACGTCTCTTATAGGCGGCAAGTCCTAAGTCATCTTTTAAAATACGCGACATGGTTCTAGGTGCTATCTTCATCTCCCGAGATAAAATCTTTTGCTTTCGGACAGGATTTCTTCGAATTCTTTCCTTTACTGCTTTGACCACCTTTTTCGTACGAACACTACGTGGACGGCCAGATCTTTTTCTGTCACAAACAGAGCAGATCTCATTGCACCTATTAATAGCCCGGTACACAAACATTTCACTAATACCAAGCGTAAGGAGAGTTTTAAAAATTGCATTTGGCTCCATACCTACCTTGTGTAATACAATCACAGTGATTCGGTTCTCTTTATCACCCCACTTTATTTTAATATCGCAAAATATTGTACAATGTATTGGCGCCAAAATGAGAAAACTCAATGAGTAATCATATAAAAATGACAGATTCCAAATTCAGATGTAATATTTTGTTTATTTTTAATTGTAACAGTATTTATGGCCAGACTAAGTACTATTAAATTTTATTCTTGTTTATCTTTGTTGGATAGACGGGTGAACGAACTCGCGTCCCACCTGAAGTTAAGTGGTTCCAAGAGCTCATAGACATTACAGTGTGAATGTCATAAACTTCGCACGCATCACGGCTTCTCGTCAGAAATAGGTGCTAATAGTAGTAACACATATTCAAATTTATACGGTTTTGATTTTTGTTTCATGTAGTTTTATTCTTTCATTGTGCAAGTCACTTTTGAACGTTTGAATTAGTTAAGCAATCGATTTATTTGTAAATTTGGTATCTGCCTGCGGGATTCGAACAATGGCATGATCGCATCGCTGGATTAACACCGGGCGTCTTATCTTTTAGGCCACGAGGATTTCAATTTCAATACGATTCAACAAATTATAGAAGGAAAATGCAACTGGTTATTTTTCAATTTTTTATTTCGGTTTAGACAGACCAGCCTACAGCTCATTTAATGGCGAGTGGTCACCGTCATTTTTGTCAGCAATCCCAGGACCAAAGTCCTTCGGAGGCCAAACATTTGGATTACAGGCCATTATCTATATATTAATACGTGAAGCAAAAACTTTGTATCCCTTTTTACGAAAATTGCGCGGACGGAGGAGTATGAAATTTTCCACACTTATAGAGAATATAGAGCAGAAGTGCACAAAGCTAATATTTTTTTTAAATAATGCATAAAAGACAC